ACACTTCCAAGCCCCAACATGTACTCGACTTGGAGATAAACATGGTCCAGGCAGACAGCAAACTGGTCTGAGGACTGTTATGATGGAGCAGGACTGAGTAAATATATCCAGCATAATGTTAATAGACACATGACTGTCCAAGTTTCATTTAAAATACTAGATAGTGATGTGGAATGAAGAATCAAAATACATCATTCTTATTAATCAGCTGAGTTACACTTGCTGACAGTTTAAAGGTCATGGAGAGTGAAAAAGATCACCAAAGTAAAAAGTGTAGATAGCAAATAACAAGCTTTTACAAAATAATCCCTATGAAGAAAAGTACTTTGATTATGGAGACACTTGGAAGCCAACAATACAGAGAAGGCCACAGCTGAATCTTAGCATAGAGTAAATTATATTAGGGTATCCATACTTTGGGTAGACATTATTCCATGTCGGGTCAGAGCACAGGATGGCCAGGACTTTTCTCTGGCCTGTTTACTCACCTAAGGGCATTTTGCAGTAATTGATTCAATCACAGGATCACAGAGTTATGTAGGCTGGTGGTCTGATCCAGCCCACCCAACCCATCACACCCCAAACCCAAAGCAGGACCAACTTAGATCAGATTGCTTATGACATTCTTCCTTGAGTTACCTTCACATCTGTTCCTGTGTTTGGCCATCCTCCTAGTTCAGAAGGTCTTCCTAACATCTAACTGGAATTTCCAGTGTCCCAGCTTGTATCTGTTGCCTCTTTTTCTATCACTGTGCACCTCCAAGAAGAGTCTTGAGCTTAGCTTGTATACATCCTCTAATGCAGACAGCAGTTATGGACTTCAGTAAGATCTCCTCTTAGCCCTCTTTTTGCTGACTGAACAAAACCAGATACCTCAGCTTCATCCCATACATCATGCTCTGGCTCCCTTGATCCTCTTTTTGCCATGTTGAGGACCTCCTGCATTTTGTTACTGTCTTTTCTGTACTGCAGATAAAGTCACATAAGTACCAAACTCAAGGGAAACTCCCATGTCCCTCAAGCTGCTAGCTATGGCCATGTGTAAGACAGCTCAGTATGGGCATACTGCTGACTTGTGTTCAACCTGCTGTCCACCAGGGCCTTGAGTCCTTGCAAAGCTGCTTTCCACCCAGTTGTCCCTCAGCTTGTGCTGTTTTATGGTGTTGCTGTATCCCAGCTGCAGAACTTTGCCTCTGTTGAACTTCATGAAATTTCTGTCAGCCCTTTCAACAGTCAGACACCCTCTGAAAAGCAGCCTTGCTCTCCAGTGTACCCTTTCATTTAGTACCAGCAGTAGAGTGGCTGGCCGTGCAAGGCACCTCATCATTCAGGGTGTTATTAAAGGTATTAAAAAAGTATCATCATGTCCAATATCAGCCCCTCAGGAATGTTATTAGTACAGGGCGAGCTGGATTTTGTCCCACTGCCTATCAGCAGTTTGCAAGTTATCAGGACAAAAGCAAGTAGAGGCTATAATCTGAGCACAGTTGGCCCACGGTTGAATTTTGTGTTGATCTGAGTGTTTTGGAGAGTTAATGGTGACATCTTTCCAGTTTTACTTGTTTGCCTTCTATGTGAAATCAGCAGAAGTCGTTTTTCCTCCCCCAGAATTACTATTATTAGCGACCATTTAGAAAGCTAGTAGCAAAATAGTTAGGGAACGTACCCAGCAGAGATGAGGGAGAAGCAGCAATCATATGGAAGCTCCAACCTACTTTATACACAACAGCTCTCCTAAGTGGGAAATGAGCACACCATGCTGCTATTTCCAAGATCTGCTAATTCACCATCTAGCCCTCAATTAGCTTCCAGTTATGACATTTAAAGTCTGTAACTGATCATGGCCTAATTATCCAGTCACATCTTTTCAATATGACTCACTAAAAATCCTTCTCCAGAGGCTTTGCACTGCGAGGTTTCTGATGAAGGATGCTTTGTTAGAGGAGTCCCTACCACAGAAGAATCAAACCAGGACTAACATGCAGTTGTAGGAAGCTATGGCTGCCCCATCCCTGGCAGTGTTCAAGACCATGTTGGATGGAGCTTGGAGCAACCTGGAAGGTGTCCATGCCCATGGTGGGGGGTTGGAACTGGATGAGCTTTAAGGTCCCTTCCAACCCAAAGCATTCTATGGTACACCCTACTCAACAACAACAGCTCACATTCATCAAAGCATGTTTTGAATTCCACCCCCCCACCCCGAGAACTGATGTTTTGAATGAAGTTACTGTGAAATACTGAATGTGTTTCAGTATGAAAACAGGAAGCAAATGATGGGACTGTTAACATCTGCTGGTTTTGCTTTACACCATCAACATAATGTTGAGTACAGAGATCTTACTCAGATTGGCAGTACCTCCTAAGGCACTTTGATATGTAATGGTTAGCTGAGGCTAGTCTCCATTACCTGGAACCTAAAGGTGGCAGGAAGAGACTGGGACAGGCCAAGCAAAACACATTTATGTTAGATGCAGACTATCAGCAAACATATCTGCCCACTGATTTTTGGGGCAGCTTTCTACAGCCCAAGGCCACAGACCAGATATTATGCCAGAGGGAGAAAGCTGAGAAGCAACCTGGTGAGTTCTCCAGAAGTGAAAAAAATCTGAGGGTTTGGGATTCTGTGTGCAGACTACTCCTAGATAGAGAAAGACAGCTCCTGTGCAGAGACATGATTTAGCTCTTGATGACAGGTCAAGCTGTGGACTTCAGAGACTGAAGGCATGTATAGCTGCCTGCTCCAGTTAACTGCTGAACTCACCATGGTGTCCAATGGCTGCTGAAAAAGCAATGAGCACCTTACAAAATCTGGCCCTCAGGCTGGCAGACCTCAGCTTTCTGGACAATCATGGGAAAGGAGCGTGTCTGTGAGTGACATAGGGTGCTCATAGGAGACTTTGAATGTATGACCATAGGTACAAGTGCAGGACAGAGATTTTTGCTTTTTGTATTACTGAGGTAGTACTTTTCTTACCACCAACCAGGAAAGAAAGGAAAGCAGTCCCCACAAAAAAAGGTAGTTGTGTTGAGTGCATCCTAGTAAAGCTGCAAAAGGGCTAGGTTTGTCCAGTGCAGCCAGGCATTTAAGGAGACATCAGGTATCAGGTAGTGTTTTATTACACAAGTTTTTTATACAGAGACATACAGCGATGCCTTTGTGTCAGAATGGCAGCTGTATTTACCATCAGTTGCCACCATGAACAGCAAGATCACTTCCTGCCAAACTGGGGCAGCGGTGGTGGCACTTTGATGTCTTGACCTCTTTCCAGTTTCTTCTCGCAGTCAACTAGAAAATTGACCCCATCAATGACAATCTGGACTAACTCCACCTACAAAAAGAAGAAGAAAATAGCGGTAATAGAAGCTTTAGCTAATGCTGTTAATAGGGGAAGGGAAAATTGCAACAGCAGGCAAAGCTGTTAGGTAAGGAGGGTCACAGCAGAGAAATCACACCCAGTGGCAGAGGGAATATGGGTTAAGCTGGTCCAGTGGAAAACCGCAGTAATTCCCTTCTCCTATTTGTCTTGAGTTTGGACCACCAGCAACAAATATTTCCAAATAAGTGCTCAATATCACCAAGCAGTTCTTGCAAATGCCCTTGCTGTGTGTTCCCAGTTCCCAAGGTTGTCTTACTCCTGTGCTTGCAGGAGCATTTGTGTGAGCAGAGTCAGACAGAAGCTGACTGGGATGGTGGTGCTAGGAGAGGATGACGGGTTCATTGCCTTCATCCACACTGGACCTGAATACTGCTGGAGGCACAGGGTAGGTGTCCTTCACATGGCTGGCACTGGGAGGATGGCAGGACTACCTGATTTGCCACAGCCATTTAGACTGCCTGAGAAAGTTTGTCAAGCCAGAATCTTGTACTTCTTCACACAATATGTTCCCCTGGAGATGACCATGAACCCTACTGTGATGGTTAGTCACCTGTGAGGAAAGATACCCTACCCATTGTGCCAAGCTGGCTTTGCTGGGACACTTTGGACAATGCACATTTCTGAAGCAGACACGCTTATCCTAAACTCATGCTGGCTCTACACCATCCATCACTCCTTTGTTTTCAGCTCTTGATTTACACTGGCAGGGGTGGGATTAGCTGCAGGCCTGGAGCAGTACCAAAATTTGCAGTTCTCTATGGCAGGGGGTAGTGGTGACTTGTAAAATTCCTCAAAATTGCTAGAGAACACAAAGTGCTTTGTCCTCAACAAACTTCAGCAGTGACATGGGAGGCCCTGTGGTATTGTTAGCCAGCAAGCTAGAACACTGACTTTTCTTTATCTTCATGGAATGGTTCATCAGCAACCTTTAATGACTGGCTTGTTAAAACTTAGTACAAGACCAAATCCTATTGTCTCTTTATTGTGACAGTCTTTGATTTTCAAGGGACTTGGTTTTTACTACAAAGCATTTCAGTGGCTTAGCAGTTTATTTTATTGTCTTTTACAGACCAGCTGTGTTGGGAAATCAGAGGTCTGAACTTGCAGCCTCCAGGAGAAAAGGGATTTCATATTAAGTTTGCATTGACCAGTAACTGAAACAAAGCAAAAATACAAATAATTCATCTTGCACTTTTGGGATCATAATTCAGTTCTGCAAACACATTTACCCCATAATGGAATTTATTCTATACTGAAAAAAAAAAAGTATTTTAAAACATCTCCATCCACTTGAGTTTGTCTTCTCTTATTTAGATTTCAGAACCTTCAAGGTGGGGATTGTATCTTATCTATTGGCTTAATCTCTTGACTAATTGCAGTACAAGGCATCACTGACTTCTGTGGAAGTCTTCATGTAAGCAAAAATTTGTAGGCTTAGCCCATCTGTCAGTAGAACTCATATTAAGTAACTGTACTGTGTAATCATTTTGTATTATTAAGAATTATTTTAGTCTAAAGCACACATTATGATATTTCAGGTATTAATAATTATTTTTTTTTCAAATACTGGTTTTGCAAATAATATAGCTCAATAGTTTTTCTCTCTTATTTATTTTGGTCTAGATCCAAAGGAACATAGCTGCCTACATAAAACTCCAAAATGATGAATATCCAAGCCCCTGCCCAAATGCCCCTTGGCTGCAAAGACATTCAAGGGCATTTCCAAATAAAAAGACCTGACTTGTGGAAAACAGTGGTGGAAAACCCACGGTGAGTGAGGAAGGGAAGCCACTTGCTATTTGGATCTAGTTGTTATCCAGGTGCATTATCCTATGGTTGTGTTATGAAAACCTACCAAGAATCAGGCTGAACTCCAGATTGGGCTGGAACGCCACAACCAAACTGCATCTGTATGTAAGCTGCCAGAGCCTCTCAGTGCTGTGCTGCTCTGGGCTAAACATACTTTGACAGCATGCTTTCCTTTGCAATCATATTTTAACTTGCACAAATCCCCCAGGGTAATTAACAATTTGCTGCTGGGCAAGCAGGCAGCCCTTCAAATCCTGACATGTACAAGCAGGGTTAGCATCTGAGCCCCAGTCATGTACTGCATTGCTGGTGGAGAAAAAGGGTCCTCAGAAGACCTCAGTCCCACCAGGGCCTGCGCAGTTGACCATTGTTGAAATGTTACAGCACAAACCTGGGGTGTAAAAGATGTGTTTGACAGAAGCTTTGAACCTCTGTTTCCCATCTACTAGCAGAGTGCTCAAATCACTGAACTTACAGGGTCTTGCAAGGTAAATTTTTGCCTCCGTTGTTCTTGACATGGCCGGGGTGAGCACAGCCCTGATCTTGGTGAGGGAAAGGAATCTGTAGCACTGCTAGAGGACTAACAGCCTGTGCCCCAGAGTAAGAGTTTGCCTCAGGCGGAGTTAGTGGGAGGAGGCTGCAACTCTGACAGGGCTGTTTCTGCCCCCTCCTTCAGCAGATTTGTTCTTATAAGCTGTTCTGCTTTATGAAATACTTAAATATGAAACTGGAATGAGGTCTGGGACTCGAGTCTTCCCGGAGAGCAGCACCACCACAAGGCCGTAAGGTCATTTCTACTCTTAGGCACAACAAATATTCATTCAGACTGAGACAGCTTCAAAACAAATGTCTGACATGAATCTCATCATAGCCTACAGCCCAACAGGGAGGGCTCAGCTCACAATTAAATATGTGCCCTGATTTAAACCCAGGTCTTCTGTATCCTTTGCTCAGCAGCACACAGGACACGTGAAGATGACACTAACTCCTCCTCAATTATTCTGAGTGAAAGGATTGGCCTTTGTCCTGCAGTCTAACTGTGAAGAAAGTGCATGGATGAGTACTAAAAGGAAGACAACATGTTAAACCAGTCTTGCTTTCAGTGTCTGATTCCTCAGGTAGGTTAGGACTTGACTCCTGCTTGTTTCCCCAACACCTTGCAGCAGGTAGGGCAGGTCCCACCCAATGTGCAGTAGCTAGCTCAGTGCTCACTGTCAACTTACAAACATGTCTCATGTCCAGCATAGCAGAGATCACCAGACACTGATCTTGTAGCCAGCAGTCCCAGCAGGCAGGCATCCCTATGAACTTGTGCTGTGTTGCTGAGAAACATTATCCTGAGGTTTGGCTTTGGTCTGCTACCAAAGCCAAACCTTTCTAATACCTGTGTGCTCTCAATGGAGATACTCATCACATAGAATCATAAAATAGTTGAGTTGGAAGGGACCTTCAAAGGTCACCTAGTCCAACCCCCCCTGTAATGAGCAGGGACATCTTCAACTAGATCAGGTTGCCCAGAACCACATCCAGCCTGGCCTTGAATGTCTGCAGGGGTGATGCATCCACCACCTCTCTGGGCAACCCATGCCTGTGTTTTACCACCCTCACTGTGCAAAATGTCTTCCTCATGTCTAACCTGAATAGAAAATCATAGAGTAGTTTGGGTTGGAAAGGACCTTCAAAGGTCATCTAGTCCAACCCAACATGGTGCAAGCAAGATGTATTTGTGGGACTTGCTCAGGGTTGTTCTTTTTATATTGCCATAACAAGAATATTTGTCAAACATTTTATGCATGTTAGTTTTGAGGTAGCATTTCGATTGGACCAGATTCATTAGGAGTAAAAACTGCCATGGATGGCTCCACTGAGGTCAGCAGAGGGAAACTGACTTCTATCAGTACAGATCAGAGCTAAAAAGCAAGGGGGGGGAAAAAAAAGGAAGAGATTACCTCCGAGCGACCCATGCGGTCCAGGTTGGAGATATCGTATACATCTGCTACAGCTGCTGTGTCCACACCACCAGTGCCACGTTTTTGCAGACGCAAGTTCTCCAGGATTTTTGGAAACCGAGGATCCTATCAGAAAACAGTTTTGAGCTTAATGCCTTTCACCCTGTGTATTGTGCCAAATCGTTGCAATACTGTTATCCACGGTGTAGTAGCACCTCCAGAAAGACACGCAGAGATGGATAGTTTTCTCAGTCCTTAGATTAAAGCCTGTGTTGGCAGTTGTCTGCTGAGTAGATTAACTTCCATAACAAATACAATAATTTGCAGGATCAAAGTGTGCTCAATTAGTGGTACGTTGTCCCTGGGACCTTGTTACACATCATGTTAACATGCAGTCACTCTAAGTTGGCATTTTAAGTTTGTTTCTTTATAAATCAGAAGAGCTGATTTATATCACTGGCCTTTTAAATGACTTACATACCTTGCTTAGCCTGGGTAGCTTAACATGGACTCCAGCACGTAAACCAGTTCCCAGGTTGGAAGGACAGGTCAGAACATACCCAAGACGCTCATTCCACATGAACTCCCAGCCCCGTTCTTTAATTAATCTTTCCACCTATGACAGAATAAAAAAAGAAAGCACAAAGAAAAGGTCAGCATACAAATGTCTTATTTTAAGATCTCTGCTTGTAGCGGGTATTCTTTTCACCATATATCTTTGTTGATGGTGAACTTCACTAACACCAGTGGAGATGAACTTACACCCAAGTACATCTGTTTTGGATGTGATGCAAATGTTTGCAGTCATCAGGTACCAAGATTCCCAGTGCATATTGCAAGGATTTCTTCATTGTTTTCTCACAACCATTAGCTTGGAGACTCTGACACTTTAGCACAAAGATCCCTATCACATTGGTTTGCAATAGCCCTAGCCTGTGAAGCCATATCTTCACATAAGTATTAGGGCTTTTGCCATGTGCTTCTAACCTTGGTATTTTTGGAGCAATGTGGCAACACACAAGCCCAAAGGTCTTAAATGCTACAAAGCAAACAAAAGCAGCTGAATCTGAGTTTCATGTGATTTTCAGTATGATTCTGTGATTCTTTTGAGGGGACACTTGACTTCTAAATGCCTAGTTGTAACAGCCAGAGCACCTTGTAAGGCTCCAGCTGCGCTGCCTGAATTGCAGAAGGCAAGGTCAGGGACTGAGAGTACGAAGAACCAGATTTGAGAACAAAGGTGCACAAGTCCATGGGACCTGACGAGGTACATCATCATCCTGAAGAACATCCTGGGGTATTACCAGCAGTGTGCGCTTGAGTCCAGAACCCCACCATGTGCTGGGCTGCATCTCCCACATCGTGAGCAGCAGGTCGAGGGAGGGGATTCTGCCCCTCTACTGCACTCTGGGGAGAACCCCCTGCAGTCCCGTGTCCAGCTCTGGGGCAACAACACAAGACGGACATGGAGCTGTTGGAGCAAGTCCAGAGGAGGCCATGGAGATGCTGTGAGGGCTGGAGGCAGTCTGATCTGGAGACAGGCTGAGAGAGCTGGGCTTATTCAGCCTGGAGAAGAGAAGACTCCAGGGAGACCTTACAGCAGCTGCCAGTGCCTAAAGGGGCTACAAGAAACCTGGAGAGGGGCTTTGGACAAGGACCTGTAGGGACAGGACAAGGGCTTTAACCTGACAGAGAGGAGATTGAGATGAGAACCCAGGCAGAAGTTCTTCCCTGTGAGGGTGGTGAGGCCCTGGCACAAGTTGCCCAGAGAAGTTGTGGTTGTGGAAGGTGTCTGTGCCCATGCAGGGAAGATGAGCTTTAAAGGTCCTTCCAACCTTAACCATTCTATGATACTGTCTGTGGGACATGGTAATGTCTTATTTCTTTGTTAAATAAACTTTTTCTGTGCCAGAGGAGTACTGGGGCTGCACTGGGCCCATAGCCAACATGAATCATACCTGGACTGTCTAGACAAAACTGAACCCACACACCATCTCATGAAGGCTCTTTTTTCTTTGTGAATACCTAGATCAGAATACAGTTCTAGAGTCCTCAGTATCGTATTTTAGTATTTTAATCACAAACCCCTGTATCTCCCTGAAAGTGGCACTGAGCCAAAGGGTCCTAAGCCCCAAGTTCTCAGCAGCATCCAGTTTCCTACGTCAGAGAAGAGAATGAGGAGGCTGGGTCAAATAAAGTCTCCATTCAATCAAATCAAGCAATCCAAATAAAATGTGTGATTTATGGATTTCCACAGCCTACGGGCACAAAATCACACACAAAAAAAGGTGATATTCATTAGCCAGTCTGTGCTTAAGATTTGAATGAAAAAGCTACAAAGCTATTTTATTTATTTTTCCTTACAACTCAGATTTCATGCTAGCATGAATTCCCATATTTCCTTCTTTATCTGCATTATTGCGGGTTGCTGTGTAGACTGGTGTTACTTCATTTTGTTGCTCCCAGAGACATCAGTTCAGTATGAGCCCTATTAAGTACTGCTGACAAGAGCTCAACAATAAGCAAACAGGAATAATAAATTAATTGAGACATTACCTCCTTTAAGCCACGGCAAAACCTTTCAAACACCCGTTTCATGTTGCCACCCTTCTCCATGGAGATCACCCTGGTGTGGTCCTCTTCATTAATCCAGATGAGAAATGTCTTGTCATTGTTATGCCTGATTGGGGTTGGGGGAGGGAAACAGTGTCTTTAAAAAGGCAGGCCCTGAAAAATAGTTCTCAGTATCCTTAGTTTTATCACAGTCTGTTCGGGCTGTGGAGAGGTTAAGCGTGGCAGAATAATGTTCTGCAGTTAGGCATCTGAGCTGCTTTCCCAGTTGGGTCCCCTATGCCAGTGAGGGGCATTACATGTGTTTTTGGGCACAGCAAGAAGGGCAGTTTTTTGGATCACAACATGCTGCTGTGGTGCTGAGTGAGGAAAAATGTGTTGTTCTCTATCGCAAGCGCAGTTGGGGTGCAGCAAAGGGAGAAGCCAGGCTTTGCATCCTCTGTCACTAGGGATAGTTTTTATTGTTCTCAGAAAGCTGTACAGCTAGGACACAAACTTAACGCTAACATGCTGCTGGGGGCCAAGCAATATGTCCTTAATTTTATTTTTCCCTAAATCAAATCTCAGTGCCCTCTCTATTGCTTGGTAGCAGTGGATTGCCACATCAGTCAGGTTACATGTCTGAGAACAGCAGCTGCACGTTGCTTGCAGACAGCACATTAGTGATGCTGGCTTGTCAGTCAAGATCAAAATGCCTGAAGATATTCACTCTTGCTCCAAATAGATCAGCTGTGGTTAGGTTTATTAAGTGCTGGGTCAAACCTGAGGTCAGTTGTCCTGGCTTTTCCTCTACTTTCTCTGTATACATTCAGCCTTTCTGCTGCACGTAGAAGGTGATTGATGGCATCAGACTCATTCGTGCAAATGGTGGAATATTATGAGGTTTGAAACACATGAAATTTGGAAGATAAAGTTCACCCATAGCCTGACTTTGAGCTCATACTTGGAGTTTGCCAATGCAATACTGAGGAGGTGTAAACATCCTGTGCCCTGACATTATGGTCACCCAAGGTCCTGTTACCCTGTCTTCAGTCACGTACGAATGTTCAGGGGAGGGTTTTCCAAATAGTCTGAGGTTAGCCTGACCCAGCTCCCTTCTTTGATTGATTGTGCAACTCTCCCCATTGCTTTAAGGAACGTGGAGGGAGGCCATGCTGAGCACATTTAAACTGTGCCGTGAACACCACTGAGGTCAGTGGGAATAGTCCTGCAGCCAGTAAAAAGGACAGTCACAGTCAGTATAAGCAAAATAATGTACTGTTTTTGACAACAATTTTTTTTGCAAGAGAAAGGCGGGTTTTCTAAATCTTGCTTACTGAAATACTTTGCGATCATGCCAGGTTTTTTCCTATCTGCCTGATATTTCACATGTAAAACAAGGCAAAACCTAGACCTGTTTTATTCAGGAGATCCCTGGGCAGGAACTGCATTGGTACTGCTGGTTTTTTGTTCATAAAGACAGTGAATGAGATGCCTCAGCTTTATCCTTTTTCTCAGATTTAGGTGGGGATCAGGGAACTAAGCTGAAGCTTGTTGAAATAAAAAAATCCTCACAGATTTCCAGCAGGTTGTCAGGTTTCATGGGTGATCAGCTTTTACAGCCCCTGCTCCCCAGCAGAAATCATGTTTAGCTCATCATGGTAATACTGCCTGAACTTCTGAACATGAGTCAGTATTGTCAGACACTGCTTGGAGAACAGTTGGGTTTTTTTTCTACATGGACTCCTGTCCTTTCTGAAAGTCTTGCCTGTGTATGGCAGGGGGATATGCTACGTGATTCCTTAGAATCCTTTTTAGCCTTATTTTTACAATTAAAGCACTGGTAATGCCTAGAAGTATGTTAGGGTAGACACAGATGCTATGCACCGCACAGCTGCTCCATCCTCTGCTCTAATCTCAGAGCTATTATCCTTTTATTTCCACAGAAAATAATGTATTTGGGCACAAAATGCCTCAAGGGTGCTGTGAAAGTAGAAGCAGACCTAGAACAAAATAGGAAATTTAACTTCTGTATCTCCCTTTTGTCCAGTTATTTTGGAAAGAAAGGGTTACTTTCAGCTCTGGGAATTAAAAGAACACTTCGTGGGGGGTAGGAATTTGCTATTCAGTGTCCTGCAGCTGAATGGCTGGTGGTTCCTAGGTGACAGTGTGGCTACAATCTGGTGTTAGAGCTGCTTTTGCTGAGGTTAGGGTTAGGTTGAAAGTGACTCATGAGCTCTTTCCCAAATAAAATTTTTATTTAGAAATAGAAAAAAATGAGATAAAAACCCAAAGAAGGAGCCACACCTATGAAGCTGTGTCCTGTTCATGATATTAGTGATGGCTTTTTGCATATAAAGGTTTTACCCATTCTGTTGTTCACTATGGATTTTGCTTGATTGCTTGCTTGGGCTTTGGTTTGGGCT